GGGTTGGGGCAGAGGGCGCTGGTTCTTTGGGACGGGGTAGGGAGTGGCTAAGTCTGAGAGAGGAGGTATCCGAGGCAGAAAGCACTGGGGGGGGGGGGCGGCAGAGGGGGTAGGTTGCCTAGCAATAAGTAGAGGTGCAGGAGGGCGCTTGGCATCAGTGGGCCAGTGCAGGGCAGCTGAGGATGGCCATCTCCTTCTTCACACTTCTGCCTCCTTCATGCCACTGTCCCTGGTCAAGGCTTTCCCCTGAGACCCCCTGCAGGAGTTGGTAAAGTCACCAAAATGACACCTCCACTCCCGCCGGCTGTGCTGGGCAGCCTCAGACAGGATTGGCTCTGCTCCTTCATGCACCAGTTTCGACCCCTTCCACCCCATGCCCAATATTGTATCCACATCCCCCCCGCCCCCAAGCTGGGCTCTGCTGACTTGACTTCGCTTTTTCATGTGACACAGGAAGGTGTGGAAAGTGGGGGGTGCTCTGCCCTGCAAAAGGCTGGGTCACCTCTCACAGTCCTGTCTCCCCCTCCCCATCCTTCCTTTCTTCTTCTGTTCCCTAAATCCGAGTCTACCCCTAAATTTCCAGGGCTGCATTCTCTCCGTAGTCCGCCCCCCCAAAACAAGTAGGGGTTTTCTGGGGTCTGGGAAAAGTCTTGGATATGAGAGGGGCGGAGGCTCCCGAGGATTCTGGGGGGCCGGGCCTCCGCGGTCGCGAAGGCGAGGACAGGGACCAGGGATCCTGAGGGCCGGATTGGTTGAATGGGCACGAGGCCCGATGGTCCCGCCCCCGGGTTGCCAGGGCCCAGCCTATCCGCGTCCAGGCGGGCCTCGGTCGCCAGGTGGTTGGGCTGGGGGCCGGGGCAGGTGTGTGCGTTGGGAGGAAGGGGCTAGGCCCTGTCGGGACCCCCAAGGGATTCCCCCCGAGGCCCCTGCGGCTGGGGGTCTGGGGCCCTCTGGCTCAGCCGCGGAGAAGCTGCGCCTCCTTCCACCGCGCCTCTCCCCGCCGCCCCCGGCGCGCTCCCGCCTGCCGCCTCCCGGGTCTGGATCGAGCGCGCGCGCCCCCGTCTCCCCGTCTGCGGCCGAGGGGCGG